TTGTTGTTGAAAACAGTGTCAGAAACAAGTTTCAAGGATGATGACACTGGTTAAAAAACACAGATCCGCATTTAAATCCGAAATTTATAACACGTATGTATTTTCAAGTTTGTAGACCTGAAAAAAACATTTTTACGACTTTATTTTCAAATTTCGCGCCGCATTACGTGTGGAGTAAATCATCGCCAGCTGTACCAACTTTGAAAAATTGTTTGTTCCGGGTCGAGATAAGTGAACTAGCTCGGAGGTGTTTAGTTTAGTAATTTATGTAAATTATACGTGATTCACCGGAAGAATCACGCGCGGGGAATTATGTTCCAATAGGAGTAGAGGATAAAGTTTTCTTAATTATCCCGAGTGCCGCTACGAGAATTCAAGTAACGTTTAATCCTTTTAGCGGTGACATCCGTTGCGATCGAGATAAAACTCTGTTATTCACCGATTTGTGTCTCGCTGGAGCCAATTCAGCAAAAAACTAATCAAGATTGATTAGTCGAACGGTATACAGGGGGCTCTGACTTATTAAACTAAAGACCCTGTATAAACACGACAGAAGTAATAAAATAAACATAAGTTTTTGAAGAAACATAAAAATAGGTTACTATTAAAAAATTGTAAACCTCAAAAACAAAATTATTAATTTCTAAAAATTTTATTCTTGATAAACCCTGCCATTTTTTTATAACTTTAATCATTCAACAATTATTATATTTTTCTTTTTATTTTAAATATTTTAACCAAAAAAAAAGCTTGGTTTCATTTCATTTGCTCGCTATACAGAGTGTCAGAACTTGCGCCCCAGAGAAAAATTTCAAGTAAGATACTAGGAACTAAGAAAAAAATGTTTAAAAAATTCTATCTGTCAAAAAAATTTGACATTTGACATTTTTTTATGTCTATTTAATGGTACTGATGATGATGTTTTCAAATAATTATTTAGTAAAGGTACAAAATTTTGCCAATAGAAGCCACAAATAACATACAATTTAGGATACAGCTTCGTTGTTTCCTCTTCTAACAGCCTGTAGCAAAAAAACTTGGAAAATTATTTTTCTAACAAAAATAAATAGTCAAAGTGCAAAACTCTCATAAATTCGAAATTTTTATAGATACAATTTTTTTAACATTTTTTCTAGAAACGGTGGTCAAATTCTACCGGATTCGAAAATGTTTTGTTAAGTATTTAATAAAACAAATGAAAAACATAATAAATAGTAAATGACCAAATAGCGCGAATTTTGAAATCACTTCTAAAAAAATCCATATTAATTTGATATAAAAGTTTTTAATGGCTTCAATTATTTTGGGATTCCTAAGGTTGAGTGTATGAGTGATGTCCCAACGGCAGGTCTAGCTAATGAAAGCTAATGTGTTACACTACCTTTCTTCCTCCGTGGAGCTTTAAGCCTTTAACCCTCCGTCACCTGCACTAATTCTCTCCAATTACGAGTCACTCGAGCACGTATTTAGAAAAAAATCACATTTCGACACAATTAGTCTCGACGAGAGATGAATGTGCACCCGAACACATGTCTCACATGTGCAAGACGAACGCACCGACTGCAAGAGCGCTCCTCGACCGGCGTATCGAAAGGGCGCAACCGTATTGTTTACTGGTCGGTGGCACATGGAATGGAACTCCGGCAGACTCCCGTAGGTGCCCCGAACAGGGGCGGCGCTACGCCTGACAAGCGTACAACAAACTCAAAAATCCTAATTCTTTGTACCAACTGTGTTAGCAAATTTCTTCCATTTTCTTTCGAACCTATTTTTAACGTTTCTCCATTGGCAAAAATTTAATCGGGAGTGAGTGTTGTCCCCCATTTTAGGGCCGCCACTGGTCCGGCAAAGAATTCGGACCCCCATTATTCCGCTTCTTTTGTGTCCCCGTCGCGTTCCATATTCATTGCACGCGCTCGAAGAGTTTTTGTTAAATACACCGAATATTTTAATACTTTCTCGGATTTTAGGATTATTAATCTCGGTTTTGAATGAGAAAAAAAATCATTTCAAAAGGGATTTGAGGTAAAGCTCGGAATTGGATTAGGGGAAAAACAATAAATGCGATAGTGTTTTGTTACTTTATTTCGATGGATCAAAGCCGAATTAACCATAAACAAGAGAAATGAAATACATAATGACTATTTACTTTACATTTGTCACAACGGACGGCACCCCTCGCTCATTTTGAATATTGATTATAGCCGGCGGTGGAAAAACAAAAACGGATTTCTTTACGAAATTGAAAACTATTTACAAATCCAGAAGGGGGTAATAATTCCACCAACATGTTGTCATATTTATATTTCTTTATTTTAAATTATTTCGTCTTGACTGATAGTGAATGTTGTCATAACCTACCACTGCAACTCAAGTCCGTGATTTTTTTTCCTTGATTATATTTATTTTTGATGATAAAACTATTTGAGTTGAAGTCGGTGTAGACTTAGCCTCATTTCTGTCAATTCAGTCCGAAAAACTTTAATTATCTTAAAGTTCGTTTCTCGGGAGCACAATTCGACCAAGCGAAGCAACAAAGCGGTTAATTTTGGTGTAATTCCCTCATTTGGTGTCGTGTAGATCCACATTGTCGAGTAGTTTCGAAATAATCCCAATTTCCTTTCTTCTAGCTTAATGAATTTTTAACCCGGCACTTGAAAACTTCCAACTTCAATAATATGCAAGTGCATGAAAAAAGTAATCAAGGGGAAGGCCCCAATTGGCGAGCGTGAACGGCCGTACAATTTCTCCGTTTCATTCGCAACTGACAAGTTTCATAAATTCGCAGGTAGATTTTTTTCGGTTGGAATAATGAAATTTCGATGGTAATTGCTCAATTTTGTTTTATGCGGGGTGGTTAACGAGGTACCAGTATCAGAAAACTACTTTAATAATAGATGGTTTAAAGCCGATTTATTTTAAGAGGCGGCTCTCGAGGCTTAATAAACTTGCTTAAATCCCATGTTTAGGAGAATAATGTAGTGCCGGATCTATGCTACTATTGTTCAGTTTTCAAGTTTTGGCTGCATTAGAACAGGCACCGCAATTTAGCATCAAAAAATATATAAAAATAAAAGTTTATGTTTTTAACAGACACAATTTAATAATGTATTAAATGAAGAAACAAAAATAGTGTGCCATGTAATTGTCTCAGTTGTTTAACAAACTTTTATCATTTTTTTACCGTAATGTTTGTAATCCCCTACAAAAAATTGCAGCCTTAAAGTTTGATGTTTCTTATTTATTAAAGTAGTAAAAATCGAATTCTTCTAGTTCCTAGTTTTTGTGTATTAAATTAAAAAAAAAAAGAAATCAAATTACATCAAAAAACAAAATCGGCCAATAAAATTTAAACAGTTTAATATTTTAAAACATAAATAAGTTCTACAAAGGATATCTCACAGAGACGGCCTATACAATAAAAATAAATTATTTTTTATTATACCTGCATCATAATCCTAAATTAAAACACGCTGCAGCGTACGTAATTTGGCCTTTATAGCACGCTGAAATTTTAAAATTGTGTAGGTAACAAGAAATAGTGAAATGTCTGGACCAATTACAACGTGAAAAAATGTGCTTAACAACGTAAACTAGTAACCGTCTCTACGAAAACGATTCACAAACAACCTTTGATAATTTTATTGTGTAAATTCACATTTTTTCAATGCTCATAAAAGATCGTAAATGGGACGCTGATGCGTCGTGCGTGTTTTAAAGGCTTGCTTATAAACTAGTATTAAAATATACTATTTTTTATCAAATATATCGTTTGTTTTATTTTTACACTTCAAAAAAACTATCAAAATGTTATTCATTAAAAAAAAGCATAAGCACTTATTCGCAAAACAATATCGCAAAAGTGAAGGTAAAAGCCCCTCATCTAATTTGCCACTTGAAATAAAAAATGAATTTTGGTGTTTTAAAATGATCATATTTTGTTGAAATTTTGACATGAAAACTGCATAAAATGTATATTTGCATTTAATGAAATATTAGCGGAGGTCGATTTTAATTGAAATTCAATTAATTTGGCGTCTGATGTTCCCCGAAGCAATTACCGCAAAAATTAGTAGGTACATCTTGAATTTCACTATCAGTCTGAACAAGCCATTAGTGTTACATTCTCTCCGGTCCTCCACTTGGGGTTGCGCTACCACGACTCCGGTCATCCTTCTCCGACCCATCTCCCAACAATGGCAAAGTGTCGTGGAGTGGCCCTTCGAAGGGGATATTTTGCATACTGCATGCACTTATTCAGCTATTGTGAGACTCCTGAATAAGCTCCAAGTCGCGTATGAATATGCTGCGAAGGCACTTCACTACGCTTCAACTTTTCACAATTTTAAATGTGCACCATTCAAGTGACTGTTTCGACATAGACCATTCGCTCTGTTTATAATTAACTAAAACTATTTAAATTCCTGCTGTAAAACTGTAGTAATTCTAAACGGAGCGTCATTCGATAGGGAAAACTTTGAGGTGCGACTGCTACAAAACGGTGACATGTAATCTATCAATTCTCTTCATTTCTAAAGCTTTAACTGGCCCTCTGAACGAATTAATCAGTCCCACTTAATAAATACGGCTTTATTTTTAGACGATGTAAACAATTTGTTGCAAGGCATAAATTTTAACATTTTTAAAGGCTCGCCGACAAATGAAAGACACGGCGGATCTGTTTTGGCTCCCTAATTTATAAATACGAAAAGAAAACTAGCGGTAGCACCAGGCTCTGATTTGACACGCCGGCCAACTTTAAGCAAACAAATATTACCTATGGCTTTATGCCAGCTAAATACAGAAAATAATAACAAAACAATCAATTTTCTGGTGAGAAAAGAGAAGAGTTTTTGATATAAGTTCTGAGAATGTTGCGAAAATTCCGTGTAACCCTGACTGTTTTCTTCAAATTCCACTATTTATCTGGAAATTTAATCACGTAACAGCATCCGTGTTTTGTCGACGCGATACAAGCAATTCTAAAAAACAAGCCCAGATAACGTTAATGTTTTATTTATAAAATATATGGCATAAATAATACATAACGATTACGTAAAAAATCAATCTTGATTAACTAATTGGTAAAAAAGTGAGTGTGGATTCGCTAATAAATTATCAGGTTGATCAAACTCAACAACCTGTCCATCATGCATCACCAATACTCTATCACAATCTAGAATTGTTTGAACTCTGTGAGCAATAGTCAAAACCGTGCTTTTCCTAAACGCCGATCTCAAAGTTTGCTGGATTTGGCGATCGGTTTCCCTGTCAACATTCGCCGTAGCTTCATCAATGCACAAAATCTAAAATTGCCAAATTAGAAAAAAATCACAACATGATCAAGTTTCACCTTCGCATTGTGTAACACAGCCCTGGCCAAACAAATCAGCTGTTTTTGTCCCACTGAAAAGTTCACTCCTCCTCCCACTACAATATTCTTCAACCCCCCCAAGCGACGAATCGTCTCCGTCAAATTAACTTTCTTCAAAGCGTCCCAAATTTCGTTGTCCCGAAACTCCCCCAACGGATCCAAGTTCTCCTTCAGCGTCCCGCTGAACAGGAAGGGCTCTTGCGGTATACAAAACAAACGAGACCTAAATCACTACATCCTCATTACCTTGAATCAACAAAATATTACCTCAAAGCTTGTAACGAAACGCGGGAAATGTTAACGGAATCGATTGAAATCTCGCCGGAATAGAGCTCAACCAGACGAAAAAGTGCCGACAGGAGTGAGCTTTTGCCGGCACCGGTCCTCCCGACAACTCCAATTTTCTCCGAAGGGCGCGTTTCGAATGATACGAAACGCAGCGAAGGCGGCAGGTGCTCTCTAATTTACAAAAAATCAACTACTAGTTTTATAAACTCTTCCTATACCCACCTGTATTTTAAGACTACGTTTTTGAAGGCGATAACACCCTGACTGGGCCAGCCGAAAGGCGGGTCGATCACGCAATGTGTGCTCTCTGGAGGGATGTCTTTGATATATTGGTTGACTCTTTCAACGGCGATCATTTCTCTTTCGGTCTCGGTGAATGCATTAACGACGCCATTTAAAGCCGAAGTTACAGAAAGCGCATACGAAAGAGCCAAGCCGACAAGACCTTAAACCCCCGATTTGAAACTCCTTAAACTTTAGAAATTTTTTTCAATACCTGGATCAGCGACGTCATATTGATGCTGAATTATCGCGATAAAACTAACTCCCGAAACCATCGCAACTCCTATAAATTGTAACCTAAGGCCTAGCCAGCGAGCAGCTGCTTGACTTGCAAACTGCGCTTTGATGTTGGCATCCACGTTCTCTTCGTTGTCGCGTTTGAAACGTTGAGTTGCTCTCATAGCACGTATGGTTGTTAAACCTGGAGATTTAAGACTTATTTTCATCGTCTTAGTTTGAGTTAAGTCAGGAAACCTTGTAATGACTCGTTAAAGTGGCTATAAACCGGCGAAAGGGTCACACTTGATATTCTTTTTAATTCCCGAGAAGTCAAACGATAAGTGTATTGCAACCAGTGATAGACGGGAATTAGAGGGATCAACACAAGGCAAATCCAAGGCAAACCGTAAATCGTTATAACGACAGTTCCTTAAAATGAGTTTTATCGTCCGTGAGTCCTAATCAAAACTTACCTAACAAGCTGAAAAATTGAGCCAGCAAGATGTTCACTATGAAGGGCAAAGAGTCATCCACAGTGTAAGTATCGCTGGAAAAACGGTTCAAGATGCGACCGATCGGCGAAATGTCGAAGAAAGTCGTTTTGCCCTTAAAAGGACAAATTAAAGTCATTTATATACCAAGGGACAAAATAAATCTCTTTCCGCTTTCGCTCACTCAGGGAAAAACATTGCTAGCCATATAACCACTCAATTCGGCAATACATATTAATAGTATATTACATAACGAGCACGGAAAGTGATAAATAACGCACAAGCGAGAAAGTTGCGCACGAGGCGTTAGCCGAGTGCAGGCAATTCCGTGAGTGTGTTAGACACTTTCCTACAAGTTTTGTACACTATTTTTCCTCCGACTATAAATAATTTTTTTCTTACGAACATATTTTTTTTTCATAACGATTTAATTTTTTAATGGATACAAAAATACGTTGAATAACGACTTATTTTTTATAATGGATACAAAAAAAAAATACGTTGAATGAAAAAATACAAAACATTCCGAGTGTGAATTGTGCGTTAGATTTCTAACACACAGTACGAAAACAAATCGCACAGGTTTTTGACCTCGTACGATAGATATTGCCAATTTTCGCGAATATGTAATTGTACGTTATGATCTAGTTTCGTATATGGTCGTAGGAAAACTTATTTTTTTCACAAGAAATAGAAAAAAGTTTATTCAGCAAACGGTAAAATTGATCAAAACGCGAGAAAAAAGTTATATTTTCACTTACCTTCAGAACCGATCTTAGGAGCAACTTGTGTATCTTGGAAGCGGCCACAACTCCGCCATAAGCGAATAAAAACGCTCTAAACAAAGTAAAAACTGTGTTGACACACGCCAACTCGATGTAAATTCTCAGATAGTAAGACATAGGATTTGAGTCTGAAAATCCTTCAAAGAAATTCCCTTCGCTCAGTTGGTCGTCATAGAATTGACTCAAATTTTCGCTCGGATTTGTATCGCTTACCCATTTTGACATCCACCAATCGGTCATATTTCTTGAAGTTTGCATTATACAAACAGCCAAAAGAATCATAAATGCAAGACCGTGTCCTATAGACTTCCAATACATAGCATAGACGTTAAACTCAACAGTTCCTGTTTCACTGACTTCTTCCAAAAGAAGACTATCATTTTCGTCTTCACTTTTCTCAATTTGAATACTTTCCAAAAATGAAACATTTGATTGGATACTTTCACCCAATTCTAATTCAATTGGCAACATGTCATCAATGTTGGTAAGAACATCAGCGGGTTTCCCTTGCTGTTTTATAACCCCGTTTTCCATCAAGACAATCCTATCACAGTGGACTAAATAATTGACATGGTGGGTACACAAAACTTTCGTTTTGTTTTTGAGCAAACCCATTATACAATGTTGGAAAATATGTCTGGCAACTTTCGTATCCACGGCCGATAAAATATCATCTAGTAAATACACGGCCTTGTCTTGGTACACCGCTCTCGCTAAGGCCACTCGAGCTTTCTGACCTCCGGAAAGAGTCATTCCGCCTTCGCCAACCCCGGTCAAGTCACCCCCGGGCAATAGATAGATATCTTCAGCCAGACCACAAGCAAACAAAACCGATTTGTACCGATTATCCTCAAAGGCTTTCCCGAAGAGGATATTGTCCCGCAAAGTGCCTCTCTGGAGCCATGGCTGTTGCGTAACAAACCCGAAACCAGACTCGACTTGACTCACGGCGATTTCCCCTTGTTGCATCTTCAATTCAGCCAAAATGGCCGATAGTAGGGAAGATTTGCCGCAACCGACCGAACCGATGACCCCCACAAACTCGCCCTGCATTGGAGCAGTGTCAAAATCGCTTCGTTCTCTCCGTGTTAAGCTTTAAGAAGGAGCTAAAGTCAAAAAAATTGTGCTTTTTTACAATTTTTGTTAAAATTTTTCACTTTAGCTCATCCTTTGAAGAAAGCGACACATTAAGACTTACCTTCCTGACATTGAAATTGATCTCATAGAGACAGAAAAGCGCTTCTTCGGGTTCAATAGGGTCACTCCTCAGCGTCCTTTTGCCCTTACCTTTGCCCTTAGTTTGTTTTGAGGCCAAATGTAGCCTATTTTTCTCCTCGCTTGTTAACTCCCGGCCCCAATTGAAAATCCCATTTTTGATAACAATGTCGCTATTTTGATCAGTTTCTAGCATCGTCTCATTGTAGAATACTTCCAAATCCAAGTCTTCCAACTGAAATGAGTGATAAGTTTTCCGCCTATGCGTCGTAAAGTTCGACTTACATTCAGTAGTCTTTGTATCCTTTTGAGGGACACCCACGCTTCGGTGAGTCCGTTGAGGACCCAAGGAAACGCATTGAGAGGACTTATAAGCATGTTGAGTAAAGCAATGCCGGTAAAAACGGTAGCTGCCGTTAACTTATTTCCCATTAGTACATAAGTCGCGAATGTGAGTATTGAGATCAGGACTGGTGTCGTAGCCCAAAAATATACACAAAGAGCGTCAAGATATTTCCTCCCTTTAAGATATTTCAGTTCCTTGTCTCTTAATTCTGCAAATCGAGCTTTGAAGTTAATTATTTCAGCTCGCTACGCAGACATACTTGTGATAATACGCACGAAATGCTGCTCCCAAACGTACAATTTAATGACTTTAATCCCTCGTAATACTTCAGTCACCATTTTTACGCGCATATCTTTTTCTTTCATTAGCTTCGTACTCAATTGTCCGATTTTATTTGCAATTATCTTGTTTATCGGGATTAATACTATACTGAATAAGACGCCAGAAATAAACGCTAAACCTACTTGACTATACAAGAGATATAAAGTTATAACGAGCTACAACCAATTAACTGTTGCTTGTTTCTTTGCTTGGGGAGATGCTTACTTGGAACGGAATACTCCAGAAAGAATGGAAGCTCGGACACGAATTGACGATCCGATCCGTGTCAGTCGACATAAAATTTACAATTTCTCCGAGCGAAAAAGCCGAATTTAAAACAGTCTCGCTTACGGTTAGTGTTTTACGGTAAATCGTGGTAACTAAAGCTCCACGCATTCGCAAACCGACCATCGACATCAAGAAATTGAAATGAGAGTCACAAAACGACGCTGGAAACACAAAGCTTATTGCTTATTTCAAAAAAAAAAAACAAACAAAACAAATTAGAAAATTACAACAAAAATCATTGATAGTTGCAAATATTGTACTAAGAGAGAAATTAAAATAATAAAGTGTTTTTTTTGTTGCAACTAAAGTTTAATCTGCTTTATGATTGTATTTTCATATTTGGTGTAAACACTTACAAATCAAAGTAACTGTCATTAGTAGAAAAGCGTACAAGTAGCCCCATTTTATGTCTTCTGACTTATCTTCGATGAAGGTGACTAGCCGGTTTAGCAACAAAGGAGAAGCGAAACCGGCACAATCTGCTATGAATTTCAAAAAACCGATACTGTAAAATTGTACCCAAAAACACTTATGAAGAGCTTTGAATAAAGATACGTTGTGTCGTCTCACACCGATAAAAGTGACATCAGGTGAGGTAGGTGTTGACTGACTTGAAATAGAACAAGTTAACTGTCGTCTTCTTATCTCATCAACATTCCCAGTTAAGGCTTTGTCAAGTTTAGTACTAACAGTACCACAATTGAGAGAAAAGGGTAAATCGTATAAATCTTCCGAATTGTTTAATTTTCCTTGTACTCCTTTCTCCATTAAAGGATTGACCCAATAGAATAACAGTCTTGAAAGCCACGTGACATTCTCCATTGCCACTCCCAAATAACTGGGATCCCCCTCTTCGGTAAACCTGATATAAGCATTGCTCAAGAGTGGCTGAGTTTCCCCAATCTGGAAAGAGTAAAGGTGGTCTTCGACTCCCCTCTCTTTATTAGGTACCCTTACCTCAGTATATCTATTTGCGAAATTGAGATAAGTGGTACTCCCTTCACTTGGAACAAGAGTGAGACCATAAACAATTTGCAAGATAATCTGACAAACACTAAACCCATACGCAACATATACACTAAATCCCGGTTTAACTGCAAATTTATACACCAAAACGTGGCTACGCACCGAAACTACATTCAAAACAAATAATAAAGTCCACAACACGCACACAAAGACCGGCCCTCGAGGGCTCAGCCCTAGTCTCTTCCTCAAAACTAAAGCATACAAGAAGTGGCAAAACCATGTAATTCCTTGTACTGCACACAAAAAATACGAAACGTAGTAAACCTCCTGACTTATATTCAAATCAATGTAAATCTGTAAAAGTGGAAGTAGAGCCGAACATAGAGATACCAAACATCGGAAGTAGATCGCATAGAGCTGGACGGGGCCCCTGGTTACGTATCCAATATGGCTCCCAACGTAGTATGCTGAGGCACATGCAAAAAGGCCCAAAACGGGAATCTGGAGGTATAACTCTTGAAAACACAACCCCAAATCGTGTCGAGGCTGAGACCAAATTTTCAAACCTCCCGGGCCACACATACGCTCCCAATCCCAGCGCCAGTGTGGCCACTCGAATGAACTGTCGTTCATGTTGTCAAAGTAGAAATCTGTAAAATAGAACTGTCAAAGTGCCGAAATTTGTTTTTTTGAGGAAATTAAAGTATTCTTAGGCTGGTGAGAAGCACTTTGGTCATATTTTATTACTTAGTGACATTGTCGTGGTAGATGAGTCATCACAAATTATTTTTGCACATTTTAAGAAAATAAAAACAGTTGGATTGTTTGACAGTAGTTACCTTATATAGGCGTTATTTGGTATTGTGAGGCTTGGACATTACGTTGGTGAGTCCATTTATTATATTTTTGGGCGTTTTATTAAACTAACTAAACTAAATCACAAACTGCACCTTAGGTTAATTTCTCATATCGGTCACTTTAGTTCGCTAACAAACCGTTTTGTGCGATTGCTGTCAAACATACGCAGTTCACCACATAGATGGAGCAACGGATCTTAAACTAACTGAGAAAACTAAATATATTAAAAATTCAATTTGGTTCGTTTGTAGGCAATAAAAAAATTGTATTTTTTTACAGAAAATGACAATGGAAGTTGAAGTTGAGGAAGTAGAAACTGTGGAAGTGGATGCGATTAAAATAATCGATTTTTTAACAAGCAAGGAATCGATTTGTTTTAAAAGCCAGCAAAGAGGCGAAGACGATTTAACCAAGCAACAAAAATCAGATATCGCGTTGGAACTTTACTATAAAAGCAAATTAAATTTTCTCGTACGGTTTGGAAAGCACCTAGAGAAAAATCATCTCGATTTTTTTCAAAAGTTTACTAAAAATTGCGCCGAATCGGCCGAAATTAGTATAGTTCTCAAGGAGTTCCTTTCTTCTGTGACGAAAAGTCAACAAACAAATGTGAAAAATCGAAGATATGAAGCTTTGAAGGAGTTGATTCGTGAAGATTCGTATTTTTCTGAGATTGAGATGATGAAACGCAATCCTTTGCTTTACGAGCAATTGGTTGGCCAATATTTGACAGAAGATGAAAAAGCTGAACGCGATAAAATCAACATTGATGAAGAAGCGACCCTTGTTAAAGTTTTAATTGAAGGGATTGAGCGTGACGACGCGCAGGTTAAAAGAAAGAAACAGGAAGAATTTGAAGATGGTATGAAGGAGGAAGAGGAAGGAAGTAGCGATTCGGGGGATTCCTCGGGAACATCAAAGCAAACGTATTCACAGTGGGGTGAATTTAGTGATGAACCAATTGTCAGATCGATAAAAAGGGTGAAGAAAAAGCATATAACGCCACAAGAACAACTATTGTTGAAAGAGGAGTTTATTTCGACGATGTATTTGGATTTTTTGAATGGAAAAGATGAGGATTTCGATTATTCGGCCGTTGATAATAATGATAAATACGATAGTACGGAAACGAAGGAAAACGATGAGGAAGATAAGTATTTCGATTCGGAAGAGCCTGAGAACGTGAATGAAGCTGGTCAAGAAGAGTCCGAGGACGAATTGGACATTTTTATGAGTGCTTTAAATCAGAATCCCGCTGTTTCTCAATTATCTAAAGACATTCAAAAGTTATAGAGTTTCAGTAATGTTCAGTGAAACTTGGTATCAATGCTAGCAATCAGGTTAATGGGTAATTAGAGTAAGAAGCAGCCGCGAATAGTTTGTACATATTTAGGGAACAATTAAACAACGTTTCTTAACGTACGTTATTCCGGGAGGAAGGACAGTGAAACGTCGGCCCATAAACGAAAAAACGTGCCCTGTAATAAATAATAAAAGAAAGTGCTTTAATATCGTCGAAAAATGGTTAGAGACATTTTACTTTCGTAAACTCGCATGTGTCATACATACATAATTTTCTTTTTCATTAAGAAATGTAAATTAGAATCTTGTCTGATGTTAATGAGTAAACAAGCGATAAAATATTCAGCGGGGGTCAAACAAAGAATGTCGGAAGCGAACAGTGGACACTGTCCAAAGAGAAAGTGGGCAAAAGCTTCGTCAAATTTAAACCAAGTACTCCCGATAAAGACTACGATTAGGTAGTATTTGGCTGGTAATTGGGTCAGCTCCTGCACGGAGCCTCCGCGGATAATCCTCCGGACTCAATTCCGGTTTTCCGGTGTGAAAAGCACCGCTCGTTGCAGACACTCCAAATTACATCAGCTGGTTTCACAATGAAGAGTCTTTGGAAGTGAATGAGTTTGTTAGGGAGGAGGGCATCAGGTCTAGAGAAAATAAAGAAAAGTGGGAGGGAGGGGGTCATGTCGGTAATTCTCTGGTCTTGTGTGATCAGTCTTCACATAGAGTGTTTACGAACAACACACAATCTAATAATTAACAATAGTGTTCGAACTCTAGTTTAAACTAACATGTGCTCTACCCTCAGCTTCGGGTGAATCGCCTAATTCATGGACAAGGAGCAACCAAAACACTGAGGTATTTTTTAATCGCTCAAAGCCAAACTATTGTCTATAATTATCGGTCGTAAAATGCAATTTTCGCAATTTAATCGTCTGTAAAAATTTCTTTAAACAAATTGAAGTCAAAAGTTCAAATATGCATTAATTGTATTTTAATTACGAACTTGCATGACAAACATTTTACCCCACTTCCTCCACAGTTGCTTCAATTTTTTTCAACGAAATCTAACTACGAAAAAATACCGTTCTAATTAAATCGAGACGTATCACTTTAATTGACCCAAATGAATTATTTCAAAGTGTTAACTCAGATAAAACTAATTAAATCTTAATTTATTGTAAGTAGTTTAAATTGATACACTCTCCCCTACTGTAAAGCTGGTTTTTATTAAATAAAACTTTTATCATTTCGACGTCTTTCATTACAATGGAAATTGGTACACCTGTAATTACACCTCGAAATGTCAGAAAATACCACGTGGATTATATATCCAAATTATCCAACTTTTCAACGTGAAAAACTATTCAGAGTGACAGTTTTAAACCAAAGTTTTGATACGCAAAACCCAACAATCGTGTAAACGACGATTTATGTACATGTTTCGTTGAAATAAGTTGGTTTACAACGATTTCTGCTTTAAACCCAAACCAAATCGTTTATAAATGGCTCAGATCGCATTATTCTGGCCGAAAATGACGATTTAAACAATTGTTTCGCTAAAATTAAAATTAAATTTAAGTTTTAAAAAAGTTTGGATTGCTGGGTACAATTTTTTATAATTAGAAGTTGAAGTGACTCTCATTTATCAGAATTAATTAGAAGTTGGTCATTTTTATCACTAGAATTTCTCAAATAAACTTCAATCCTAGAACGCAAATTATTGTTTTTCACTACTATTATGTTACAAGTTTTATTTGACAACAATATTATTTTATTTTATCTCATTAAAATCCAAACACATCGCAGATGACTTTAGAAATAAACTTTTGGTAATTATTGCTAAATTAATAAACTGCGAGATAAAGTTAACTAGGTCTGCAATATTTTTTAACATGCCAGTAATATTTTGAAAACGAATTCAAAGTTTTTATGACAATACTTAATCTTGGATTGTGGTTAAAGATTCTACAATATGTAATAGTTTTGTAATTATTTTGGTTTATGTGAAATACTCTTTGTATTATTGATACAAAATATTGGGTGATCAAGAATGAGTGTTGAGTTGGCAGTATTGAAATCAATTTTTCAATAGTATCTACAACTGCAAATAAATTCCGCTTGTTGACAGCTGCGCATAGGATAATTTTCTTTGACACTTCATATTTTAGTTTAGTAGATTATTACTATTATTATTAATAGTGATAACGTTGACAGTATTGTTCTTTATTAAATTGTAATTAGAACTTGTTTTTCGACATAGTCGATAAAAAAAAACTTTGTTTTTTAATAAAAGGGTCTAAATTTGAGAGGTGTGCTAATGGGAACAATATTTGGAAGATGTATTTTCTCTATTTAGAAAAATGAGACAATTGTGTTGGTGAAACTGTAAATAGTAGTTGGGGTATTGAGTATCAGTTTGTCCAACCGTCCCGTGCGAAAATCGCTTCATTAATAAAACTGTCTTGCGACAAATCTAATATTGTCCGTGACAGATGGTGTAAGTCCTCCCACACTCGCCTACTTGATTTCGGGTATTCTCACGCCACCCATGGTATCGCCACCTCTTAAGCCGATGTTCCCTCCGATGACCTACGCACACCTCCATTTGTTAGCGTCGAGAACAAGCCGTTTTGCATCTCGCCGACAATCGGTTTGTTTTTTCCTTCGGCACGATTAATTCTTGGACAAAAGCCGCCAACTGTCATGACCTCCTCTAAACTTGATATTGAAAGAACGAAGAAGAAGAAAAAATTGACCCTTACATAACGACATCGGCTGTGGTAGAGAGCTATTTATAACGTCGGCGTGACATTTTGTCTACACTAATTTGAATATTGGACGAAAAAGAGAGGATAAATTCTCGGCTCTCTGTTACATCACACCGAATTGATTGTTATTGTCACGACACTAACGGTTAACGGGCTGGGAACCCCCGCAAATGGACGCTTTGCGGCGAATCTACTTAATTTCATAAATTATTACAAAGCTAGTTTTAATAAATCAATGGCATTATTAGCTGCGCTGACTATAAATTTATGAATTAACTGGAATCGGTTGAGCTTAACTTAAGTAGCGGGATTGTTAGAAACTGAGCCGAGCCCAACTCGCACGAAAAATTGAGCAAACACGACAAAATTTGGTTGAAATACGCTTACTACTCAAAATCAAAACTTTTTAACAATTTTTTCATTTGATCGAAAAAAAAAGCATTGAATAATTGTTTGGCAGCCCAACGTTGCGCATGTCAAATTGTGATTAATGTGAGGTAAAAAGCAGTGAAAACGGTGACCTTTTCAACAGTAGAATTTAGAATTATTTTTTATTTTTTTTTATTCTTCGACACTGTCAAAATTTACGGTTTTTCTCAATACGAAACGTTACATTATTTTTAACAGATTTAAAGCAATTTTAAGCCTTGTTGAGTCTAATTCGAAGAATAAAATGTTGTATTCAACTCGTCTTCGTGTAAATTACTTCACTTATTCCACCTCGTTAACATTCGTGGTTTAATAATCCTCTCGTGAAATAAAGCGTCCGATTGACACTCAAACTCATCTAATAAATAACTATTATCTAAGTACTACGATTTTTGGGACTACAGTTAAATCGCTTGCGTTTTAGCGAGTATACATTGTAAATATATGTTACGTGACGCTTGTGGCGCGAAAGTTTGAGTGAACAAAGTAATATTAGTTTTTCTTAATTTCATTGTTTCTTTCTGAGGATTGAGGTTTCAGCTGTTTTATGTTCGAGACGATTTGGTCTAACGGACTAAAAATCATCTGGAAAGTGATCGTATCGGTGAAGTAAAGCAATTGACTTTCGATTTTGCTCAATTATCGTATTTCTATCATCTGCATACCGTCGGCTTTCCTCCGTACAATAGTCAAAGTTGAAATAAAAATTTGCATAGGTGTCACGATTGTATCTCGATTACTTTAACCCACTGACCTTCTCCTTTATTTAAAACCGATTTGTTTTACCATTCGATTCTAATCTCTAATCGAAAAATTGTGCTCTCGCCAAGTGGGTCAACCAAGTTCGCCATCAGAGCCGGTCTTAGCCCTTGGTTTCCAGACTGCGTGTCGCTCGAAATGTCAGGTGTGGCTGACCGAGAGCCTCCATTGATGAAAGGTGACCAAAATGACCACCGCAGAGAAAGGAAATTATCAATGGCGCGATTTACTATTTGACGTAAAGTTAAGTGGAACGCCGGGTTGCATCAGGGGCCTCTAGTTTTCGGACTTTCTACCAGTGGTAGAGACTGTCTTTTTACTCAAAAAAAAGCACAACACACGAAAGTGAAGAACATCCAAAATTTCTCAAACAACAATACAGACGAGTTTTTCACATTTCGTTAAAAAAAATATTTCTTTAATTTTTGACAAATAGACACGATACGAGCTATCCCAAACAATAATTAAAAATCAGCAACGTCATAATAAAAATTCATTAACCTGGTCTTAAAGCTAAGAAGATTTAAGCATTTTTTAATGTTAGGGATGGGCTGTTAAGTAGTGTAAGCAGCTAATTCATAATTTCTGAAGTTGTGTGAGATCTTTATTCAGGATTAACAGCTTGATAGTTTTCGGACCCTCGGATGTGAGTGTAAATACGCCACTGCTTTCACGTTATGTGATTACGTCAATGATTACACCTACTTTCTCTGATCTACTATACACTAATTGTCGGTTTGAGTAGACTTAGCGGCGACTTTTGTTACAGATCATGAGGCGACGAGTCTTCTCTTGGATTTTCATCTGGACTTCTTTACGACTGGGACAGAGCGAGCAACTCGCTAGTAATTTCACTCCGACTAATGGTACGCCTTTGACTTTACCCATATTTAGCCAACACAAACAATGAAAATTAGTTAAACTATTGATAATTACTTGTTAGGCGTCAACAATTTGTAAACAATACTTTAACCCACTAACCTTTTAAACTTCATTCACAGATCAGAAAGATATGAGAGGACTTTTCTCCCCGCGGATGGACTACGACCAGTGGAAGCCTCTAGGTCGAGGAGACCCATTAAAAAATGACCCAACCTACGACTACGTACCACCGGTCCTTGACCAGGTCCACTATTGGATCGATCCGGCGTTGCGCAAACCGGACCCGCCTTTACCTGGAGAAAACCAAAAAACCGAAATTCTCCTTTTGGGAGTTTCCTCGAAGAAACCGAGCACCGGGACTTCAATCGCCGACTCCCGAAACGACAATTTCGATTCCTTCCTCAAATTTGTAGACGGTCCGAAATTCACCAGTCAGAGAAACACACGACCTCACTATCCCATGGGATCATCTTACTTCCCTCCCAATTTCTACTCAAAAAACAAAAACAACTTTTCGAAAAATTCCGATCAAAGGATGCCTTACACTATACTAATGCCACCACCCATGATTACAAAAAAACCAACAATTTCTTCACCCAGCCCAACACAACTGACCACAACCGACTCGACCACAACCCCGGTTACAACCGCGGCTAAAACCGAACAAGTCACAGTTCAAGCAGCAAATTTAGTGTATCACTCTAGTAGTATAGGTGACTGGAAAACTGAAACTTCCACTAACCTAACTCCAAATCCGGCCACGAATCGGTTAAAGCCGTTCAAAGAGGAAATTGTCTTCCAGAAACACTTCCAACTTCCTGAGAGCTACATCCAGATCCAGTTTGCCCCTAAGAGACACAACCAGACACTAGTGGCGGCAAGTAGTGACCATAATATTAATTATGTCACGCCGCCCCCACTAGTGGAAGAAGTGATGCACAAAGGGCAAGTCTCAGATGACAATTTGGACATTTCGAACACTTATGTTAAAATTGGGAAAACCGAAGCTGCTCTGATGGGTCAACCGCCACCGCCTCCACCCATGATGGTATTTTCACACGTCCAGCACCCATTGATTACCCAGACTCCTCTCACAATGCAGACGATTCAAAGTATGCAAAGTATGCAACCCCCACCGGTCACCACAAGCCCCGTTTATAAAAAGTCAACAAATCCGATTCTGGTGGCGTTGGAGAAAGAAGAAGTGACCACCGAAAGGATTGAAATGACCACCACCGTTCCAACGACTACTATTACTACGTCTTTGACTACCGACCCTCTTTTCAAGCACTACAAGCAGCCCACGGAGCCTCTTCGTGGGCCCCTATACTTGATTATCCAAGGCCATTCGAAAGTAAAAACTTATGGGCCCAGTAAACAGTTCCATGGAATAAGGGTACAGGAAACCAACGAGATATCCGATGATGAGGTCCGTGACAAACGTTTGTTTTTGAAGAAAGAAGAAACTAATTCGAGGGAAGCTAGATCAGGGAATTTGCAGACTTTGAAACATGTGATTCAGACCGGATTAGGTGCCATTGATTTTAGTGACGTGGATAGAAGCGATAAGGTGAAAGAAACAGAGTTGCACTTTGGGTATGAAGTGGGGGAAGGGGTGACGAGGGAGACTTATCATAAAGGAATCGTCGAAGAGGCTAGAAAACTCCACGAGGAGGCTTGATTTGTGATTTAATGTTATCTTTGTGCTATAATTTTTTATTTATTTTTATTTATAGACGTTTTTGATTTTTTTCTATTGTATTTTTAATAAAATATTGTGTAAGTGAACAGTGTCTCACTTGCCCTCATACCAATAATTGGGAAAAGTGGGTATTTAAATTCAGGCCAGCCAACATAACAATAAAATACTTTGGTGTACACACGATTAAGCTAATTCACGTGGCACATAAAAAATGTGCCACGCATATCTTTATCTCTTGAAACTTTTAAGTAATTTTTTACCGGTCGGCCAAATTAGACAATTTATATGTATAATAACTAATGGTAAATGTCAGAATGTTTTAACTTAGACTCTAATGAAAACAAGTGAAGAAATGTTTACAAACATTAATGGTTTATAATCAAAAGAATTGTTCTCAAAATTAATAATTAAAAATATTTTCCAATGGCGTGAATTTGGACTGTTCCTATGTGGAAGATGTCGTACTGGTTATGACATATGTGAAATATTTTGGCGGGGAATCTGGTGGAGTTGCCGTCTAGCGAGTGAACGTTTCTGAGAAATCCAAGGAAGTAGCTGGAATGCATGTCTCATTTAGTTGTTTATCAAGTTTAAGCCTATTCCAGCCAGACGAGTGTCGCGAAATGAAAAAACTTCACTTATTGAAATCAAAATGCTAGAATTGATGTGCTATATGCCGTATGTTTGTCACGTTTCGTGTTTTTCTTCCTTGTCAATTAATAATAGTAAAGAGCAGAAAATCGACTTTTTTCAAGTTGATTTTGGTGAGGAAAGGTTGGCAAAGGAAGTATTTTGTAATTTTTAGTCTTTGACAACATTAATTAGACCGAAATCTATAAATATTGTATGGATTTATAAAGAGCGAGAAATGGTTTTAATGCGTTTTATTTTTAGTGTTGGTTAGATCCGAGATCAATTAACTCAGGATTCCAGTTCCCAATAAATGTAAAAAGCTTTCAAAGAAAACAGCACGTCAATCACAATTTCTTGGAATTAATTTCTAGTGTAAAATACATCAGAGACAAGACGGCATTGCCTTTTAAGTTCGCTTGTCATATTTTGCCCACATAAGGGCATTTGGTCGATTAATATCACATGCTTGCTTTTTCGACCGGAATTGAGGGTCGCGTCGCACTTGATTCGGGGAAGTCCACAGTGAGACTTTTCGCGCAAAAAATACCAACCCGACTTGACAATAAATCGATCTCTAGCACAGAATGCGGTAATCGGCACTTAAGGAAATAAGTCGCGAGTATTGCACTGAAAATCGACGGGAATTTGAATGAAAAAATATGGCCAAATGTGTAACTTCCTGTGGAGGAGCTAGGAAATCATTAGTTATATTTTTTGTATCGCACAGAACTAGATTATAAATTAGACAGAATCGTGCTTCGCATAAGAGCCACTTTGACACACTGACACACACTCAATGTATCATTGAATAATTTTACTTTATTTGCAGTAGCGGATTTACACTTTTAGGGCCCTAGACGTACGACACCCACTACCATCATGTCGACAAAGATTTTCAACTTTCGCAAACTGTCACAATTAGAATTAACATTGAAATAATAATACACAATTAGTTTAGCAAATTGCAAATTACACATGTTGTAATAAAGTAAGAAAAATTTGTAATTAAATTTATTCTGTTTTTGATTGTGTTTTCTCTCTACCTACTGATTCCAGAAAATGTTGAGATTTGTAAATTAATAAACCAAATGCACATACGCCCATTTGATTAAGTTAGTTATATTAAAAAAAATATTTTCCTTAATTAATAAAAAATAATTAACAAAGTTGCATTTTTGAAGTGCAGTATCTACCAAAAGAAAGTTATTCTAGTACAAAATTTTTGTTTGCAACTTTGAGAATAATTGAATGGTTGTACAAACCACTCAAATGGTGAAACGGTCCTTTTGATAAGATTTAAAAGTGGAATCGTTGCTCTTTTCAATTGGATCTGACCTTTTGGGTGATTGAGCGTAATGGTGATTCGGATTTTAAGTTTGGCGGCGAACAAAAACGCCGATGCTCGACTTAACAACAGGATAATTGCCGTCATAAACAATAGTGGACAAGAAACGGTTAAATGGTTATTGCGACTGTCCAATAATCAGGTTTGAGACCACAGGTGTTGTGCCTTATCAGGCTTTTTGCCGACACAAGAAGAATGTTTACCCCACCCGCTAAAGCTCCAGACTAACTGCTCACACGAATTTGAATATCGCAAAATGACTCATGACATTACAGGCTTTGCCTATTCTTTATTAATGATGACTATATTTTTATTTTTTATTTCGACGAGAGCTGTCATCGACAACACCGATAGCAAGATAATAAAAATGGACGGGTTTGATGGACCAGAACCGAACGAATTTACACAAGGTTTCTCACAGCAAATGTAATTCTCATCGGTAAAAGTTAGAGCAACACATATTGTTTTTGCAAGTAGTACCTAATCCTGGTTCCTTTTTTTCCAGAGTGTTTTCATATTCTTTAGTGGCAAATTTCAGAATAAATAGTAAATCTAGAAATATTGGGAAACAGAGTTAATCACTTTATGATTACCTATCATCACCTTCTGGTAAACCCCAAATGGCCTGCTATAAGCTTAATTCTCATAAAGTGCAAAATTTTGTTGTTAGGTTTCGACACATTCAGGATAAGGGGCTGTGAGATAAATACAAGTACTTGACTCTGTTTCCAAGTTAAAATTGCCAACCTTTCTCTATTTCGAAGAACGTAATTATTATAGTTTATTGTCTTTTTTGCATGCACTTAAAGGGTGTAGTTTGTCCTTTAATTCATTAATAGCTAGGTAAAAATTTGAACAGCATCTCCTATTTTTTGATACATCGTTTTAAAGGCAGACAAAACTTCACCTGGCTATGATAAAAAAAGATTCGTTAATGAATTAGGGAGCTTTCAATAATTTAAAAATGTCTAGTCAACTATCACGTTTTGGTTAGAAGTATGGGATGCTTGATACCGATATTAATACAATAATTTTAGGTTTCACATACTCGCTTTTACTTTTAAATTTTACTTAGCGCTTTCTCAATTCTAGCCAAAAAAAAGTTACTTATTCTTAAATGGAGAGACCCCTTTTTTATTATTATATAAAGTTGAACGTGTTTTTAAAAATTTTACAGAAAGTACAAAAGATGAAACGTGAACTCTAAAATGTAATTAAGGATGGGTTTGAATAGCCACCTGATGACCTTAAAATCGGTTGAATATACAAGGTGATTCATGAGGAATAATGAGCCTGACCAAATTCTCCATGCAACCACCATTACCCACATTAGTTATTGCGACAACTGTAATGTTCAAAAATTTGGTCAGGTTCATTATTCCTCGTGAATCACCCTGTATACATATGTATATTTACTCAGGAAAAAAATGACTAGTTTTAATTAAAATGAAAGCACTGTGTCTTTCTTAGTAAACCAAATAAATTTTCTTTTTGACCTGACCTGACCTAATTTAACTATAAATAATAAGAATGAATAGGTTTCTTATTTTCGTCTCGGAAAAGTGGGAACCTTATACAGACTGAGTCATACACATACAGTGAACGGCAAAATTATGGAACAAACTTATTAAAACTGAAAATATTTTACGGAATTACGTAATTACCTCTCACCATGGATCCAAATACGATAATGAAAATATTTACAATTAATTATTTTTAACAATTATACAATTTTTAACTTGATTTGTATTTTTACACTTTTTGGTTTTTGGGAATAATAACGTCATCTATCGATTTTTTAAATAGAAATCCCTAATTTTTTTAGCCAATTCGATAGATCTTTTAATTTTTGAAATGACAACACCAAGATATTAAATATTAGGTACATAACGTTTTCAAAAAAAAAATCATCCATAAAGTGAAATAATAACAACCAAAAACAAACAAAAGTACATTTATTTTCAGATACCACCATATTATTGATGTACTGTTTGAAATTTTTCAAAGTTATAAACATAGATATTTGCCATAGCTTTGACAGTTTTTAAAACGGTGTATCTTTGTGGCATTTTGAAAGTTTAACTACATTTCGAATTCAAGAGAAAAAAGTGGAATTGAAGACACTGTCAAATTTAATGAACAACAACAATCGAATAACATATCAACTACTACTTTGATTTAAATTTAATAATTACAAGTTTTTAAACGCAACAAAAGCCAGGTTGTATGTAAAAATGTATTTTGGGTTGCGTCTGAAAATTGTTAGGGTCTTTATTATAAATGACTCACATGTTTCATTTGAAAAAGTGTTAAAACGTGGTAAATATCTATTTGTAAAATGATCTAATATCGCAAGACAGTTAGGTATATTTAAACCGCTTTCGTAATTTCGCCTAATCTCTTTTAATATTTTTATCGCTCTTGTATCCCTGTCCGCTTTTAAACTTTATCTGATCAAAACTGATTGGTTTACGATTACAAGTTAGAGAACTCGGTCTAAAACCCGATCTTAATGACAAATTAATATGATTACATCTTTTAAGTTTTTCGACCATTACGTAACTTCCTAACGTGCGAATTAAGAAGGTGAGCCCCCATTGAAGTTCAAGGCTTTCCAATCATTGTGTGCCTTGTATTTTCGAGCAAGGTTATCGTAAATTATGAGTATTAAGATCGTCGAACTTGAAAACTTTAATAGATGGTTTATTAAATAAATCGTCCATTGTTTGAGAGTGATTGACACTAATGGTGCTGTAGATTTGAACAAATTAATTTTTACTTAGGCGCAGAGGTAGACGAGGTCACAAAAAGTCGAAAAACAATAAGGATGTGTAACTTCAAGTCTATTTAAAGTTTGCGATTTTTCGAACGTGTGGGAACCACACACAATGGCGGCAATTTTAAATTTTTTATTTTGATTGTCTCACTAGAGCGCGGAAACGCGTATAAAGAGATTGCGGCTCGCTAACAAGGTAATGATAGGGCAATTCGGAGATATAATGTGGGTCTTTTTCGTCGTCTGTGGCACTGTGTCGTTGGTGTTCCCACACTGAAGGCCCACCCCGATTTTCTTTCGGGCAGTCTGCGGCGTGCATTTACTAAATTGATGCCTCGCGGCGCGCAATCATGTGATACACACACCGCACCGGTCCAAACAAAAACGTCGATTTTCTTTAGCTGGACCTACACCGAAGAAACGACACCAAAAAAAATTGCAAACGTGTTCTCCGAGACTAGACTGAGTTACGACGTGTGCAAGCGACTAAATGTTATGTCATCAATTTTGCCAAATTTATTTAAACGAACAACGAAACGAAGCGATTACGGTTCTTTTCACCTTTTCTAAAAGTGCTATTTTTGGTCCAGATTTGAGTTTCAATCCGGCATTCTCGACAGACAACTAATTCGGCATTTTTACAAATAAAACTTCACGTTTTTCGGGAACTAAAAGCGATTTCATATTCTGCGATGGTTAAATGCTTTATTACAAGAAAAGGAAAAACTTTTTTTATCAATATAACTATTATATAAATGAAACTAAACCGAATGTTTTCGAATGATGATAAAACTTTGGGTAAAACAAAGCTTGAAATATCTTATAACTATGCAATTAACAGCACAAACTTGTATATTAAATTGCCTAATACTTATTATTTTATTTAGAAAGGTTTTAATTTAGACAGTGCCTCCATGGTCGGCAACGGTGCCTCAAAAAAACCATAATAGCAGACTCTCCACCGGCGTTGGTTGTCTATTTTTAAAAGATTTTATTCAACTTGCTTTGTTGTCTGACTTTTGCGAGTCAAAGAAACAGCTCGTCTTTTCCCAACAAGCTAAAATTTTGCATACACACGTAATTTTAGGTACGTGGCATTACAATAACATTTACTTTAATTGATAATTTATGTACAATTAACAATTGTTTTTAACAATTATCAGTATCTCGTCTTCTAATTGAAATACAAAAATGAAACCAACTCCTTTAGATTTTTTTTACTTTTACTAATAAACTACTCAATATTTACCTGACCTATAAAAATGTAATGTTCGTTGCATCGATAATTTGGTCAGGCTCATTATTTCTTCTGAATCACCCTATATTAATAGGTTGTAATGTTGGTTGCATAGCATTCAAACCAATAACTTTCTTTAATAAATTTAATTATCTAATCGATAATAGTTATTTATTCGACGAGTTTGAGTGTAAATCGGACTCTTTATTTGACTGAGTGGATTTTTAAACCACGAGTGTAACGAGTGGTTTACCATCCACGAGGTGGAATAAAGCGTCCGATTTACACTCAAACGAGTGGAATACAACATTTTATTCTTCGAATTAGAGTTAACAAGGCTTAAACTTGCTTTAAATCTGTTAAAAATAATTTGACGTTTTATATTGAGAAATGCCAAACAGTTGTCAAAACTTCCTTACAGAGAAAAACCGTAAATTTTGACAGTGTCGAAGAATAAATTTTATTTAAACCTAAAAATTATTTAGTATCAATGAGTTTTTACAAATTCTAAAAATTTATTTTTTTTCTGTCTGAATAGCACGTCCCGAAAATTTAAAAGTGTCAAATAATTGTTATTAGTATTATTACCATCTTTATTTGATAACTAGATACGTATTTACCTGCCGATATTTTTTACCTATTATTTATTTTGTCATTTTGTAGGCATTATTTTTTAACAAAAACTACAAATTCGTTGTTACGTCTGCAAACGGATGTTTTAATAGATAAAATGGGCTTGAAAACATGTAATTTTTCCCAATTTTTTTTTGTTCTTAGAAAAACCTCAATGGACTATTTTTCAAACTCAGCAAACTTCAACGACTAAAACTTGAAAATTGACTCATTTTTTTTTTAAATATATTTTTACGAATATTTGAGTTAAAAAAAAAGGGTTAAAAATTAGGTTAAAAAGTCAAATTCAACGCGTTTTTTGATGTTTTAGTTGAAATATGGGTTATTGTTAAAAAAAATGCATAGAAAATAGGAAAACGACTAAAAAAACTAAACAAAGAATCTGAGTTATAAAGTTACACATATTAGACTTCTTTAATTAGTCAGAATTGAGTTTTTATCGGGAATACCGCAATACAGTAATACCAACCAACCAAAAATTTAAAAATGTTGGTGGCAAACAACCTAAACTACTCATAGCACGTGCCGATTTATCCAACATTTTTACCTATCAACATTTTATTTAACCGTTAAAACGATAACAAATATTGACATAAAACAGAAATTGTACAAATAATCTGAGATAAGAAATCTGTTAAATTGCACTTGATAGTGTTTTAGTGTAAAATACCTAATCTTTATAATTGAAAGACTGGCAAGTTTGTCCCTTGACCTTGCTTTAGTCATAAACAATAAAATTATTATAATTTTTTAATCAGTTGTGCGATAAGTTAAGAAACTCAAGGTGTGTAAATGCAAATTTAGGTTCGTAGATAACAACAAGGAAAAATAAATATTAAAAACAATTTGTCACAATTAGTGTGAAAATAAGAAGTTGGCATAATTAATAGTTTTGTTGCGGTTTTCCCAAATTAGAGAAAACAATGTCGAAATGAAACATATTTATTATCAGCTTAACTACACTTACAGTAAATCCTTTACTCATAAAGGAAAACACCTAAGTATGTAATATAAAATAAAAGTTATGAACGGTATCACAGATTAATTTAAAAAATACATCCTCTATTTCAAGTTTCTACATTAATTTGACAATATAGTTACCAAATTAGCTTTGATAACAATCCTAAACTACACACAAACAACTCTGGTTACATAGAATCTTATCCAGACAGAATCAGTCATCGAGCGTGTGTATCCTCGAGGCGTGTCCACTGGGCACGAACTCCTTCAGCGAGTAATACCTATTCGTGTCATCCCTATCCACTGACGTGATATGTTGAAAGCAGCAAGGCTGCGAGATATGGCTTTTGGGAGGAAGAGGTGCAGGCTTTGGCACTTTCCGCTCTTTCTTCTTCTTCTTTTTACCTAAAAGCGGCTTTTAGTCACTGCAACATCCATCAATCATCCATATTTACCTGGCGTAGAAAGCGATATATTTTCAGGATCTGAAACTAACCGCTCGATATGCGACCACATCTCATCGGCAGCTTGGGCCGTGTCGAAGCTGAAACCGATGTGTTTGGTGTGGTCCGAGGAGCAGCACATGGTGTGAAAAGCATTCCCTGCGACTCGATATGAGGACAAGTTGTCGATGGTGTCGTTCCAGAGCATGAAACAAGTGCCCCTTTCTGCGAGGGCGATCTGAATACGGCGCTTGTCGCGAGCACGGGATTCCCCGATATCGAGGACTACAACGGGAATGCCGGTGTAGACGAGTTGCCAGTCTTTGTCGGAGGTTGTTTTGAAGTATAAGTTCGCCAAAGAGCCACAAACGTATACCTGGAATGGAAGATTTGAGATGGGATGCATTGACTCATCACTGTTTTAAAAGTGTATTACAAATCAGTGACGTAATGAGAAAATAAACCATATTTAATTTTATCCGTGATTCATTTCTCTTGCGCAGAGACTTAATTATGTTTCTAATTTATTTACATTATAGTTATCACTACACAGATTTCCCACCAGTACTCTTCCAGTAGTGGCATTTTTTTTACAAAACAAATAAATGAATGTCAACAGCGGGTCCTGTGAAAACTAATTTTCTAAGCTTGGATGAAGTACTAATAAGTTTCATGAATAGAACTTGGAATTTAGCAAATATCAATCCGACAAAAGTAAATCTGAATTATAGAATACATTGTTAACATGCATTTATTGCCACATTCAATTACTATAATCATTTCAATCAACTATAAATCCAATTTTCGGTTAATCTGTTTAAAATTTAGCGTGGGCGTCATTGACAGTTATGGCCGGTTTATACTGTTTTGTACTGTATGTAATTTATTTTTGCATGAAGAGAAAATAAATGTCACATATTAAATTTTAATGGAATAATTAATCTATTTGGATATGGGTGGTCGTGCGTGACCATCTCTTAACCATGTAATAAATCATGTCTTGTTATCTCTGATTTATCGATATTTTTTGTGTACCTAAGGCTAGTTTTCTTTTGACCTAAAATTTGGCATAAAAAATAAAAGTTTTGACTAAATCCAAACACCTATAGTATATCTGGAACAACATTTTTTCAATTCCAAACCAATAAACTAAAGAGTGCGAGTTATAAAAAAGTTTATTGGGAATTTTTTGTCCTATACATAGTCATGATTTAACACCCTGTAAAATTTTACCGATTTTATATTTTAAACGCACTTTGTATAAACTGAATGGTTTTGAATGACTCGTTTGAAATAATGAAATACCTATTTGTTTTTCACTTATAACAACACGAGACCTTTTTTTCGAAGTAAACTTGACATTTTAAAGAGAATTTTGTTTTCTGGCAATTTAAGGAAAAAAACAGCTTCTGAAAAAATTACGAGTCCGTAGGACGAGTAATTTTTTCTGGCAGTTTTTTGAGTTAAATTACCTAAAAGAAACAAAACTCGAATTAAAAGTGTCAAGTTTTCTTCGTAAAAAAAACAGCTTGAGTGTAATTCGGTAAGACAATTTAATGAATACGTAAATCCGATAATGCAGACCTACTAGATTCAGACGCTTTTAAAAGTTAGGTTCTGTTTTGTTGCTGTCATAGTGACAAAAACACCGCGGCTTATGGGATTTAGTGTATGAAAAAAATTATCAGTATTATTTACCGAAAACTCTAAAACTGAAAAAATATGTTATTCAATATTTTATTTATTTTTAAATATAGCTGGAACTTAGTAAAGTTAAGTAATTTTAAAAGTTATTTATGTACCAAGGAAATAAACAACTGTTTTAATCCCGAGAATGTAAGTAATTTTTATTCGAAGGATTAACGATGTTATTCCAGAGATGTATACAAAACTTTCCTCCCAACGGACTAAATTAATAATAATAATATAAGAAAATGATAGATTTGCCAAATAATTTGACAAAATATTCAGTTCATTAATTGCAATTTTCAGAGTAAAAATCGGTATCAATAATTTGTTTACGACAAAAAACACACAAGATTCAATTCATTCAATTCCACTTTATTTTTTTTAAGAGTAAAAATAAATATTTTATTAATTTTATCCACAATCACTCTATAAAGTGACTTTATTCCACACTTTAGATGCGTATCAAGTACCACTTTATCCACTAGTGGAATAAAGTAACTTTATTCCACTGTTAGAGCTTATTCCATATCTGGTGGCCAACTGACAGTAACAGAAAAGACACTTGGAGTGCGCCCACTTGGTTAAGATAAAAAAATACACGGGCGTACTGTTTTTCTCTAAAAATTTTGAAGACAAGGATTGTTAGAAATATCATTTTTGAAAATTCTTTTCATGCGTTAACAATTTAATAATTTGTTCATTCTTCATTTTATGTACGAGTACCTACTTATTATAATTTTTTAAAGAATAACAGTGGTTTTGAAATATTATTTCATACGACTCCTATGAACAATATATTTTTTTAATAGTAAAAATAGTGTCAAAATTCAGTCATTTTTGACAACGTCAGTTCGCCACCAGATTTGGAACAAGCTCTAGTAACCGCGTAACAGCTTACTATGTTTAACCGAAAGCACATTTGGCGTGGCGTTTAAATGTCAGTTTAATTTTTAATTAAGTTTGGAATAATTTGGGCCTGTGATTGCGGATAAAACGTTATATTGCAGTCGTATGTTAGTCGCGTTTCATCCACTTAAGAAAATTAACGGCTCGAACTATCGTTCTCGCGGTGGATAAAACGCTACCTAACACACTCTTACAATAAATAACTATTATTTTCAAGGGAATAAAGTATAAAGTACCAGATTCTTAGTAAAAAATGTGGGAATAAAACATCACTTTATTCCCTGCTGGAAGGAAACTGTTTTTTATGTCGCGTTGGTTTTTTTTCTTATTTGTTTGTTCGCGGTTTAGTTTAAATCAGTGGCGTATCCACAACAGGGGCAAAAGGAGCATTTATTTTTATAGTTTTTTTTTTTAATTTTCAGTGTACCTAATAAAACTTAGGTCTCAGATAAGAATTAGAACAAGATCATGCCTGTGGCAATCACATTGAAATTTTCATAATTTTCAAGGCCACACAATTCAATTTCTTGTCTCACGCGTGACTTAGTTTGATTTTTTCCAATATTCTCTTATTGCTTCATTTCCTCCAAGATAATCATAGGTATGTGGTAAGTAATTTCCGTAATATTTTACCCAGATTATAGTACACAATAGAAATTTTACTATCAATAAAAATAGTTCACTAGCACTCCTTTTTACAACATTCAATGTTACGTTATTTAATGTAAACATTAGAGAGAACAGTTAATCAGCTTCTTTGTTCGTTTGCTCTATTTTTATGGATGTTATTTAGAGCACTATGATTGTATTTGATATGAAATGTGTTAGACAATTAGACATTGGACAAGTCATGAACAAGAAATGAACTCTGAACTACTCGAATTCAGTCAAGCTTGCACTGTAGTATTTCGTGTTTGCGGTAATGACAGTCGGGTAGTTACTAGTGCACGGTAATTCCTAATAACAAAAATTAAAGCGAAAATAAAACAGCAGTTGCATCTTGCAATTACAGTTTCGACCCAAAAAAGATTCACAAATAATATTCGTTTCAGAGCTGCCCTTGAAAAAAACTGGGTTGGCAGCACTCACAAACGTGTTAATTACGAATAAAATCCTCTTTAACAGCTAATTACATGTAAATAAAATTTAACACCACGCAGCTATAATCAATTTTACTGTCATTTCAACGTTCTTCATGACTTCCTTTTGTTGAACATGTGAGATAAAAGCATTGAAATGAGTGTTTTATTGTCTAGGTCTTGATCTTCGTATGACCTCTCCATATCTGTGAGAACTTGGGTCTTGTGAACGGGTAACTAAGCCACTTTGTGCGAATAAAAATGAAATTAGCTTCGTTTCCACAATCTCATATTCCATTTAAACGAGAACAATCCTCGTCCCACGTCACTGTGATAAATAAATATTATCAGTGTACACAATGAGTCACGGATAATTGTCAACAAATAGGGGCGCGGTGTCGATTTCATCAATACTGTTGTATAAATTCGTAGACCCACCTGCGTTTTCAACCCTTTGAAGAAGGTTTCCACTTGCTGTTTCTCGTAGTTCGTAATCTGACCTTCTAATGGTTTCCTTTCCTCCCGTTCTTCAGTTTCATCACTTTCGGCCCTCCCTTCACTACCGTCCTCACGTTCCCCGTAACTACTTCCGGAGGTAGTTGTACTCGAGTCGCCACTTCCTTCCCCTGTGGATGAGAGTCGACGCCTCTGTTGGTTATTTCTGTAGAGGAACTCCTGGTAGGAATCGTACTTCTGGGAGAAACGGTTTATGGCATATTCGGGAGTTTCCTGTTTGGTCGATAGGGACAAAGCGGACAGTCTTTTGTCGATAGGATAAGACGAGGTCGAATACATGCTGTAATCACTCTGTTGCATCTTCTGGAAAAAACAAACGAACCTTGAAATACGTCTTGGCCATTTTTTATTTATAGCATTGGTATTGATCAATTTTTTTGTGATATTGACCCATTTATTGGACCGCTATAAATATCCCAAGCAATAAAAGTAAAAATGTCACAAATAGGGACAAGCCCTAGTCGTGCTGATAAGAGATTATCGCATTTATTCCCATGGCCCAATATAATGTTCGAAAAAGCATTTACTTTTCAACTTTTCACTGATTTCTCGATCGTTATTTATTTTTTCGGTCGTGTGAAAGTCTGATGAGCACTTTGTGTAACTAACTGAAGCTTCCTCGACAGGCGTTCTGTCATTGATTACAAAAGGTGAAGTCGTGGAAAATATCGGTCGATTACCACGAATTACCGATCATGATTTTGTTGACGATTTAAAAAAAATTCTTATCGCACAAACTGTGAACAAAAGATTTACGCAGAATTCTGATAACCTGGTTTGGTGACGAAATAGGGATTCAGAAACATAAAAACGGTTGTATTAAATCCTACTAAGTTTATTTGATCGTTTTTGGCACTTTTATGCTTTATACTTTTACTGCTAAACCTACTTTCTCATATACCTAGTTCTGTTTCGCAAAGGAATATTTATAACGATTAAAATGTAGTAATTTATAGTTTGTATTTACGCTCATATGTATAGGAACTACTACGAACTGAAGTGGTCGGTTTTCAGTGATATTTCTTTGCTACCATTCATAACAAAGTTTAAAGATTTTCTTGCTAAAATGATATTTTAAAGAAAAAAAGAATTGTAAGTGTGTACCTAAATAGCAGAAACCAATTTGAACTTTTATCTAAACAAGAACAGAATTAAAATAATTTCTGCGAAAAATTAATATTTCAGTGACTTTTTTGACTATATCTGAATTTAGCTCAGTATAACTGAGAACAAAGTATTCATAAATCATCAAGAACAAAGCTATTTGATGAAATAGCTACTTGTTTTATTTTCTGGTCACAATAGAAAATATATGAAATAGAATTTTTAGTTTTATAGGAGAATAATTAAAATGACAATTTTAGTAAAACGTGAGAACTTGTCAAAAATGGGTGTTTTTTTAATTAAAAATTATTAACATAAAATCCATTATTTATTGTACTTTATTCATGTCATAATTGTGATGCATTCTGTTTTTAATCTACATAGTTAAAAAATTGTTTTTTGTCTAAAAAAGTTTTGTTTATCATCGCAAATTCGGTTTTTGTAAAAAACTCAAAATTATTTTTTTAAAGTTTAACAGATTATACAAGGTTTTTATAACAAAACGTATGAAGCCAATTTTTTCTACAATAAACATTGGCACATTCTCGTGAGCATCATTACAATGTTTTATCTACACTCTGTAGTAGTTTGTAAATGTTTTGACATTGAGAATCTATACAAACCATGCATTCATAAAATTTTCACTACACTCTTTGTGGATCTACATTTTTTAAAACACCTTGTACAATGCGATGTGAAAATCAATAATTACGAGCAGAAAGTCTGATTTGAACAATCAGTTTTTTAAAAAAACACATTAATTAAGTCTAAAACTTTTAATCACTTTTGGCTCTGTTAAGGTGCATTTTTACTAATAACGTTTTGTATAATCTATAATCCGCCATGTGAATTATAGGATTTGAATAATTTTGCAAAAATTCAAATTTATGGAGAAATTGTCAGTGGAAATGGTAATGAAAAATTTAGTTTCTATACTCGACCTAGTTTTTTCATTGAGTTTAGTCATCTTGCTTGCCGTTTTTATTTTCAGGAGAAGGTAAGAGGACTTTGTTATAACTTGTTGCATTTATTCGTTTTTTATCATCTTTTAGATCAATTAAAATTTCAAGTGCTGCGTTTCGTCGAAGAGAAAACGGTCCTGACTCATCCTCTCCTTGCAATAAATCCGAGCACAGCTTTCGTTTTTGTCGCTTTTCCAGTTCCACACATTGTGCCACTTCCTTTTCTTTCAATGGGGTTATGTGAAACGCATCTTCCAGTCTCGTACTAAAATTCCCTTCTTAATTGAATTAATTAGCCGGAATTAAGTCGGGGTGGCATTGAACTCGGCGCACATGCAAGATATGGCATGTACATCTCGATGATCCACTTCGCTGCAGGTTTATAACACTTTACAACAGGTTTATCAACTTATCGCCGCAGAATTGTTACATATTTCAATGCAACACTAACCTCGATTGTGGTTACAAATTGGAAGTACACCGTGTTTGGGAGAGGATTATTAGAGCAGCATGGGTTTTTAAAAAACCAATGGGCTGAAAAATTCCACCCAACACATATTAGTGAACCGTGTAACGGTGCAAAAACTGAAAGTAACACGATTAATACGAAGAGAGATTCTATTATTACTAATATGAGTGAATTTTAATGAGCAGATGGAGTAAACAAATTCTTTATAAATATTGTTAGTCAGCAGTGACTTCACCTGCCGTTCGCAGAATTAATCCTTCATTTAACATAAAAATCACTGTAGATTTAAGAATTTTAATTAAAGATAACCATTTTACTTCCTCGAGTATCTGGTTATAATCTTAAAAAGGTGTTCATCAAACCGCAAATATTTATAGAGCGCAGCATGGTTTCCGCTTTATATTATCTTCATCAAATTAATGCATTAATGAGAATCTACTTGAGTCGATGTTGAAACACAACACTAGGCTTGTAATTATATAATTTGGGATGTGACACTGTCTACCACTAAAAATAATGAAAGAGAAAACGTAAAAACGTGATGTGTTTGTCTAAGATTTAGCACAATGTCATTCGAAATTAGCAAATTATTAGTTTTTTTCCTTCTATAAATGCTCATTCACAACAAACAACGTAAATAAACCACTAATTGATTGGTTTGTGGTCTTTCAAACCTTTATATGAAAAAAAAAATAACCAGAACTTTAATAAATTTACAAAAAAATGACAGAAACGAGTTTTAAACTCTATTTATCGGACACTCATATTCTTATCTTGTTTTTGAAGATGATTATGGTAAACGTTAAATCTAAAAGATAAAATGAACATCAACTTATAGTTTTACTGTACTTAAGGCGACTGAAAATGAAATTTGAAGTAACAACCGGAAAAATTTTAGGTACTATACACATACAGGGTGTGGCAAAAAAAAATTGCGACTTCTGTTTATATAAAATTGTGGACATTTAACACACTGCACCAGCCAATGGTACGGTGCATTTCATAGTTTTTCGTCTATAAACATTTCCAAAAATAATAATTATTTTCGACCAAAAAAGATTCACTTTCGATAATTGTTTAGGGAATCGCAAAAAAATACCAATTAGATTTTAAAATAAACGCACCTTTACATTTTAACTTTAAAATTATTACTTATTATTTACGATTTGCTTACATTATTCTGTGTGACAATGAGAAATGTATAACAATATTAAACTTGCGGAAAACAAAAATTAGATTTGAGAATGCAAAACTTTTCAAACATTTGAACTTTTATATTAAAAAATAATAAAATTTCAATATAATGGAAAAAAAACAATAACTTTCGTTTTTATACAGATCTGCGCCAGAACTCGCGTCCCAGAGAAAAATGCCATATAAGGTAAGATACCAGGAACATGGCAAAAATGTTAAAAAAAAATATCTAGAGCGTTAAATTTTGCACTATGACTATTTATTTCTGTTGAAAAATAATTTTCCAAATTTTTTTTGCTACAGACTGGTAGAAGAGGAAACACGAAAAACGTAACTATGTTCAATGTTATTTGTGGCTTTTATTGGCAAAATTTTTGTACCTTTACTAAATAATTGTAAAAAAACATATACAAGATTATTAGTATCATTAAATAGACATAAAAAAATGTCAATAGATGTCAGATAGAATTTTTTTAACATTTTTTCCATGTTCCTGGTAGCTTATCTTACTTGAAATTTTTCTCTGGGGCGCGAGTTCTGGTGCAATCTGTATACATAAATATAAATGAGAATTATTACGAAAATTTTAAACTCGTTGGTGTCCAAACTGTGACAATTGTCTGTAAAATGTTTTCTTTTAACTCTAAAAGACTTTCAAGTCTTAAAATTTGAAATATTGATTGGACTTCTATTTAACAAATGAAAGATAAGTTTTTTCACTAAAACAATGCAACATTTTGATTCAAAAGGATCCAATTAGAGTCGCTTATACACGTACAAATGAGATACTTGTTAGATTTTCTACGTGATGCCGCCAACAAAGTCATGATTTCGCACGTTGGCACACCTGGAGTATCTAAAATCGACCTTTGCTTAACAAGGGTTAACCTTTGGTTGCTCGCTTATTACGGCACCCAATTTTCAGAAGATGTTCCATCTCTAGCGTGATAAATTTCTAGCTGAACCATAACAAAAATTGAACGTCGTTAAGCACGAAATCGAATTTTTTTAATCTAAATTCGCCACGAGACCTACTCGTGTCAAATTTTGTCGCTTTTTTAACGTATTACCCAAGTCGTAATTTCGCAACGAAAGGAAACTAAGTAAGTCTATTGTCTCTTTACAAGACGCAATGTTTGGCATTTTGCTGTAATAACAATGACTGTGATACATTAACTGCGAAGTGTTACGTCATTACGATAATGCTCGAACAAAGGATCTTTAAGGATTGGGAAAAATGAACAAAATGGAGGAAGAAGTCGCAGGAATAATCTCAAGGTTGCCGCAATGCTTTTGAAATAAAAGCGAAAGAGGGAATTTGAAAAATGCACCCTCTAGTCTAGACCATGACCAGGTAGAGGAATGATAAGATGCGTCACTTTGTGCATTCTGAAAGCTCCTCGAGGCGATGCTGGTTTCAACCAAACGGTCAAAGACCGCGAGTCAGGGTAAAAGCCAGCGGCGGCCCATGGAGGGCACTATATTTTTTGTATTAAAATTATTTTCGACTACACAAAGTTTTTCATTGGTTGGTCAAATGTTTTAGTTAATTTTTTTTTAAATGTCAATTTTTAATTATGTCTAATTATTTTTGCAACAAAAATTAAAAAAATTAATTGATTAGAACAGCAATATCAATAAAAAACTCCATTCTAGACACAACTTTTCGTAAAAGTACAACGAGCCGCCACTGAGCTGTTTGGTGCCACGATTCGAAAGTGTTAATTTGTCGCATGAAATTTAATTAATTGGCCAAGCAAAAATTATTAGAAATCAATTAAAGTAAAAGTGGCTAAAATCGGAAGTGGAAAAGTATTAAAATTGAAAAATGCGGGTGACGCCAGAAAATTCCATCTAAAACGCTGAAAGTGAGAGAGTGCTCAAGTGAGTCTGTAATGAGTCTAATGAAACGTAAAAATATGACATCACTTGTTTATAACAAGTCATCAACGTAAGATTTAACCGGAGCGTTTCCAGTGATTCATTTCGAGTTATTTCGACTTTTCCGCTGGTTGCAGCATTTCCGGTGTTTTTCCGGTGTTTTCAATTAATTACAAATTTCAGGGCCGTGCCTACCGCAAATTTCTCAACCAGCGTGACCAAAGACCTTAACTGATCTTTTTGTTGGTTTTAGTGAGGTCGCACTTTTTACCATCTAAAATTCTCACCTTCTGTAAAATAATCCGGTAAAAATCCGGGATTGCACTGAATCACACTGGAGCGAGTCCCGCCACAAAAATGCTCATTTTTTCTCTTTCGGAAATGCACTCCACTCAGGTATTCCACCTGACCACGAACTGTAAATCTGACTGAGTGTAACGCAAAGCTCCGGTTCGTCGATCCGGTACGACAAGCGAGTATGGAATAGGTTGTGGAACTAGATAGTGGATTGCGGTTGAGGAGGAATGCGCGCGCTCTCAACCACCCGCACTTTTACAATGATTCATTTGAATTTTAATAACATTGAGACGAATCAAAGGATATTTTGTGAGTTTTAATGCCGGTCGCGTTTGCAATAAGCGCGAAAATGCCTTCAGGGTTAAGTGGCGGGATCAAATGCGCCGCAGCTTAGTCGAAGGTGTCATTCATAGAGAAATATTTATCGCTTTTCTAGGAAGCTTCTACGTGTTATGTTGCATATTAATATTTGATTAGTTTTTCATATTGCTTATTCTTTGCGATGTGGCTCCGCAGCTTGTATTTCATGTCGTTTTTCTACGTTTTTCATAATCAGTATTATTTCTGCATATTAATGTTTGATTTGGTTTTAAAAATAGCTGAAATAACGACGTCCGGGCTGTTTTTATTGTTTCATGTTTTGAATATTTTAGACAGGTGTTCTAGGAATAAATACTAGGTATGGACAAATATGGACAAGTGTCATGTTACATTTTTCAGCATTTTCTGTAACACTTACTTTCATTACGAAATGTCGTGAGGTAATTATAAAACATCGAAGTGATAACCTTAATAGAGCTCAATCACACTGAAGAAAATTGTAGGGTATATACTTGTTTTTTTTTCTTTTTATTCTGTCGTTTTATTGTGCGGCCAAAATTTAAAATTGTCCCATTTTTTTATTCCAAACAGCAAACAGCGAAAAATTAATTAAATAAAACCAGCAAAATCTTCCAAGATTTGCCTTTGTTGCTCCCATTACATTGTTTACAGATGTCTGTCGGTGTGGGAATGTTTCCAATGAGAGCTATAAACGCAAACACCACAACACCGTTAGCGTTTGTTAGTTTTTTTTTTTTTTTTACAAAAACAAGACTTTTTCATTCAATAATTTATTGTGGTTGAATTTTTCAAGTTCACATAACAGGCAATTATCTCAATTAAAATAATCTAAAAGTAGTAGTAAAACAATGGAGGAATTACCCAGTTACATACAAAGAATCCTGGATTGTGTGAAAGGAAGTGTATCCACAAATACCACCAAATTAAATAAAGTTGTTAAAGATTTAAATGTTGTAAAGGAATTTACAAACTGTCCTAAAAAGCTTGTAAAAAAATGAAAGTCTGATTTCTCTGATAAGTGAAGATTCTTGACAATTTAAATAAACTTCTTCTTGAGAAAAGTTTCATTTAATTTCGTTTCTTACGCAAGCCTCCTACATTGGGAATTTTTCAGTTCGTGCAAGTTCACGGACAGCACCGTCTTGAAACCGGCTTTTCTGCATTTCTTCAAAATATTCGCTCGTGTACGCCCTGTTATAAGCACAATAATTTTACTTTCAAAACGTTTAAAACGGCTGTTATTTAATTAAGACCTTCTGTTGGTAATTGTTGAAAAGTTGATGACCTCACTTGCATTCATTTAATTATTCTCGACGCAGAGATGACAGGAAGACTCATTATCCTTGATTAGGAGCCAATTCAAGAACAACAACTATTCGTAATAGCTCTAATCGGCTTATTAGAAAAACGTTACTCCTGTATTTTGCAAGAAAATGTGTCCCTCATTTAATCTAATTAATACGGTTCAAAGGTTGGCATAAGAATTTTTTCACGGTCTTTCATTATTCACATGTTACGGTCCACATAAACACGATGACTATCTTTTGATGTATGGCAAGGTTTAAGACATCCAAAATGGCGTTTAAACGATTGTTACCAGGTCAGGGATGTTTGTATTTGTGGAAAGTTAATTTTTAAATCAAATCAAACATCATCTGGGTTACTACAATTTTACTATTAGTACTTGTGATTTTTTCATGAATGAATCCGCCCACAGAACCCCATTTGATGAGTTGTGGGTTGTGCTAATAGACCCAATTTGTTCCATCCACACACACGCCACAGGTAAACTGGAACATTGACCAAGAACTTGAAATAGTTATTTACATTCGTGTGCGGTAACTTACATTTTACAGTGCGAAATGAATTTGAAGCACGACGCGCAGCGGAGTGCTTTAATAATTGAGCACTGTAAAATGGTTAACGCACAAGATTTGTATTAAGCTTTTTGGCCGACGTTTAAACAAAAATCTACAAAATTCAGAATTAATACAAGTAAATACGTTTGACATTAAATATCACGGTGGCTATGCACTCTAATGTCAAACAATTAAAAAAGACGCAAAAACGTCTCAGACACAAAGTTTTGTTATTGTTG